ATATACCTATCTAACTATCCCTCACCTACTATTTAAAACCCTTTTTGCGTTATATGTGTTATCCATGGAAGACAAACTACAAATAATGATGTCATATACCATGAAGTAAGAATGAAGGAAAATAATCTACATCCATCTCACCCTCAAAGGAAACCAAGATACTAATAAAGTGTATCCCTTTCTATTTCTACATCTTACTCCTAGTATAGTTTAAATCAGGCCTGTTTGTCTATTTTCATGTTTAATCCAAAATGTAAAGATTAAATTATAAATCCATTGGGCTGCCTTGTTGTCCAGTATGTAGTCCATTTCCTCCTCTACTACTTTTTCCACTTTGTCTATGCCTATCGCTTTAAAATGATTCTAATTGAGATAAGGACGGGTTACAATGTTTAGTAACACTATGTTTATTTTTATTCCTAAGAATATTATTGCAGTACTCGAGGAATTTAAAATCAGTTTGTGAAGCCTATGTATTGTGCGCCGCAACTGCATTGTAACAAACATAAGTAGTGGAACAATGTAAACATTTTTGAATGTATATTCTTTTTTTGTCATAGGTACCTACAAAGCTAGTAGTTTTTTTTGTGTTTGTTTTTTTCTCCTGATATTAACATGTGGAACACGTTCCTCATTTATGACTCACTTATCCTCCAACAAATTACCATTGTTTCATGTTTCTCTGTAAAAAGCTATGAGCCAAATTACTTTTTATGTTATTAACTTTACTGTAAATCATTGTTGGATAATCAGGGATCACATTATTATTATTATTATTATTATTGCCATTTATATAGCGCCAACAGATTCCGTAGCGCTTTACAATATTATGAGAGGGGGGATTTAGCTATAAATAGGACAATTATAAGAAAACTTACAGGAACGATGGGTTGAAGAGGACCCTGCTCAAACGAGTTTACAGTCTATAGGAGGTAGGGTATAAAACACATTAGGACAGGAAATAGCAATCAAATAGGGTGGGAGTGAAGCAGAGCTGGAGGAGAGAGTAAAGTGCTGGCCTTCATGAGAGAGCAAGAGACAGGTCATAAGCTTTCCTAAAGTGATGGGTTTTAAGGCACTTCTTAAATGATTGAAGACTAGGGGAGAGTCTGATGGCGGTAGGCAGGCTGTTTCATAGGAAGAGAGCCGCCAGCGAGAAGTCCTGCAAGCGTCAGTTGGCTGTACTGGTGGAGTAGTGGACAGGAGAAGGTCACGGGCAGAGCGGAGAGACAGAGAAGGGGCAAAGCTATAGATATGTGAAGAGATATAAGAAGGGCTAGAATATGTCAATGCTTCATAGGTATGGGTTAGCATTTTGAATTGACTCCTATAGGATACAGGAAGCCAATGTAAGGACTGACAGAGGGGTGAGGTGTGAGAGGACCGACTAGAGAGGAAAATCAGTCTGGCGGCAGCATTCATTACAGACTGTAGCTGAGCAATACGGGGAAGATCAATTAGGAGAGGGTTACAATAATCCAATGCGGGAAATTACTAGAGCATGGACAAGCTCTTTGGTACCATCTTGTGTAAGAAAGGGGCACATGCGGGCTATGTTTTTAAGATGGAATCTACAGGATTTGGTAACATGCTGGATGTGAACCTCAAAGGTGAGGCTAGAATCAAATATGACACCAAGATAGCGTGCTTGCAAGGGTGGGCTGATATGGATTCCACTGACTTGAAGGGAGAGTGAAAGAAGAGGATCAGTATAGGAGACTGATAAAGACAAGGAGTTCAGTTTTAGAGAGATTTAGTTTTAGAAAGCAGGAGGACATCCAATCAGAGATGTAGGAAAGGCAAGCAATGACACGTTGCAGGATGGCAGGGGAGAGGTCTGGGGAGGAGAGATACATCTGGGTGTCATCAGCATACAGGTGTTAGAGGAATCCAAATGAGGCAATAAATTTGCCAAGAGAGGCATTAAAAAGAGAAAATAGAAGGGGACCAAGGACAGAGACAGGATGAATGGAGGAGGTATCATTAGAAAAGGAGACACTGAATGAGCGTTGGGAGAGATGAGAGTACAGTGTCACAGAGACTGAGTGCTTAAGGAGTTTGAAGAAGAATAATATGATCAACGGTGTCAAATGCAGCAGAGAGGTCAAGAAGTATTAGTATGGAGTAGTGGCCTTTGGATTTAGGTCCTTAGTAACAATAATAAGAACGGTCTCAGTAGAGCGGAGGGGGCAGAAGCCAGATTGAAGAGGGTCAAGGAGAGAGTTGGAATTGAGGAAGGGAGACATACGGGTAAAGACAAGCCTTTCCAGACGCATGGAGGAAAAAGGGAGCAGGGATATGGGACGATAGTTATAGGGGTGGATGGATCAAGGGATTTTTTTTTTTTAGGATATGTACTACAGTAGCATGTTTAAGATAGGGACAATGCCAGAAGAGAGAGAGCAGTTGAAGATGTGTGTTAAGGAAAGCACAAGATAAGGTAGATCTGATAAGGTGAGATGGGACAGGATCAAGCAGGCAAGTGATGGGGCGAGAGGAAGGGAGAAGCGCAGCCACCTTTTGTTCAGTAGCCGGGGAGAAAGTCTGAAGGGTAGGAAAGGCATGATCTACCTGTGGTTTAGAAAGAGAAAGGCAGGGTGGGGAGATTTCTTTCTTTAGCTGTTCAATCTTGTCGGTAAAGTAGCATGCAAATCTCTCGGCTGTAAGGTTAGTTTGAGGGGTGGTCACAGAAGGGCAAACAAGAGACAGTTAAAAGTGTCAAAGAGACACCTGGGATTGAGGAGCATGAACTAATAAGAGAGGAAAAGTATGACTGTTTGGCGAGGGCAAGGGTTGCGCTGTATGAACACAATATGAATCTATAATGGAGAAAGTCTGCCTGGGTGCAAGACTTCCTCCAGGAGCGTTCAGAACAACGGGAGCATCTTTGCAGGTAGCGTGTTTATTTAGAATGCCACGGTTGGAGGCGTTTCCTCCTCGAGGTGCATGTTTGGAGCAGGGCTGCAGCATTCAAGGCAGAGGTGAGGGTAGCGTTATATGTGAAGATGGCCAATGAGGGACAGGAGAGGGAAGGGATGGATAGGAGTTACAAATCAATATCAGCTGACAGCTACTGGAGGTCAATAGAATTAAGGTTCCTCTCTGAGTTGAGGTTGTTGGATTAGGGGGTACTTGAGAGCAATTGATACCAATATTTCATCTGTTTTGTTAATACTTATTTAAAATGATTTAAATTGTTTTGCCATTTACATTGTATTGGGTTATGAGAGCATAATCATTTTTTTTCTTGTTAATTGAAGCATTATTTTTATATATTTGGAAACTGATCTATTTACATTTCAGTTGTTTTTTTTTTTTTTTTTATTGTGCATAGTTTTGCAAACATACCTGCAAGGCCACAACAGCTATTGCAGACAATTATAAGACAAAGTAGATAGGTAGCTGCATGGCATATCAAAGATATTGCACACTTTTATATTTTTATTTCGAAAGGACCAACATCTATCTAGTTACTACCTTGGACTGCCACTGATACTCAGAGAGGGTCATCTAGACAAGATCAGAGGTATCTATAGAGCAATATTTGAAAGTGAACATGCTAGTCATCGTAAGTTTCAAGAAGAGAATGCATGCATGCTGGAGGGAGATAGACTATTTAAAGTAAGAGATTGGCCATGCATAGGTTAAATGTAACAAGTCAGGCTACGTGTGCATAATAGTTGTGCCACTGAGACCCCCTGCACCCACCTGTCACTGTTCTGCTCAGAGTAATCCTTAATGGAACTGCCCCAAACTATAGATATACCTGTATAAGCATATACATAACAAAAGAAGAGTTCACAACAGGTGATGATAAGTTTATGCAAAGAGATGTCAAATGAAGTCCACGGTCATCCACGAGGCTTCATAACTACTCTGGTAGTATGCCTCGGAACAGGGCTGCCCAACAGATAGATTCTCAGATGTTGTAGAACTACAACTCCCATGATGCTTTGCATGCCTTTAGAATGCTTTTAGAATGACAAAGCATCATGGAAGTTGTAGTTCTACAACATCTGGGGATCTACCTGTTGGGCAGCCCTTCCTTGGTACTCGAGAACCAGTACTCGAGAACCAACGATGGCGGTTAAGCTGTGTTGCGATCAGGCCCCAATATGCAGGTATTCACAGATGGTGCTGGCAGCATTTCGCTCTCAGTATTTCCACGGGCCACCTGGTTCCCCTTGTGATCTCCAGTTTGTGCCGATGTAGGTAGCAGGTTACAGGTCATGCAGCCAGTCTCTTGAGGTGGGGTCTCACATTCCTTATCCTTAATTCATGCAAAAAGAAAATCTAAATATTTGGAAAACTGTTCTCCTTTTGTTGAACTCTCAAGTTCTTGTGGCTCTAAAACTTAGATGATCATATTATGATAATCATATGGCAGGCAGTGGCAGATCTAATGCAAAGAGGGCCCCTATTTGCAAGAAAATTTAATTTAGCCTCTCTAGTGCAAGAGTGGCCAAAGAGTAGATAATCAACTGTTGTTCAAGTCTCACAATTCTTTGCCAGCTGTGCATTTACCATGTGTCTATCCTTGCAGGTTGTATTTGTGAGCTGAGCCATGCTCCTGCACAATTTAACACTATAGTTAGCATTTTGTTTTATCCCCTTTTACTTTTATACTATGTTTTCTGTGTTAAACTTTAATATTAAACTTCAATTTTAATATCTTTCTGGTTGTTTGATTGTAAGCTCACATGGTTAGTGACACCCCACACAAACTTGCTAAATTGCTACTGGTGCAGTATCTGTTATATATTTTATCAGTGGGTGGAAAATCTTACCTATTAGTACTTTAGGACATCCTGATGAAATTGGGTTGGGTTTTGTGTAACTTGTTAATTTGGAGGGTAACCCAGAAACATTAGGTTCTCAAAGTCTTGGTGTTGGCCAGCTACTGGAGTGCAGTGTTTCAGGTCAATGATTCATTGTGTTCTCGTGCCTCCTGATTTAATTGGGAGAATCAAAAATGTAGTGGTCTTTAAAAGTAGTAGTTTCAGGTATTCAGTAAAAGAATTTTGGGTGTGACATGAAAAAGCATTTCATCATAGTCCCCATAAACACAAATTTTTGATTCAAGGTGAATGGGGCAAATAAACCCTCTATCATGGGCATTAGTGGGATCATCTTTTTTTTAATTTTAGTATTTCAGCATATTATCACTATGGTAACAAACCTATGATGCCATTTTCAGCTCAGTACTATTTATTGCTCATGGCTCACCTTTCCTGTACATTATTTTTCCTGCATCTGCCCACATGGTAAATGTAGTGTATGGCTTCATTAACAATCAGTGAGACTATTTTAGTAATCGTGCTAGTAATCCCATCATAGGAAGAATTATTACTGAATTAACAGAGAATCAACATTCTTTTGAATTGTAGAACCAATATACCTTTTGTTTTAATTCGGTGAGATCATGCAGCTTTTATTTCTGTGGTTTATGTGGATGTGGGATGTAGGCCCCAAGGCAGTAACTTTAGTAGAGAGGAAGTTAATATGATTTAATATATTTTATTGCTTTCTTTCATAATTACACCTTGGCAATGTACTTCATTTTCACATTTTCCTTAAGATATTTTCCAGATATATGCTAGGATATTTATGAACATCCAAAACCAAACGTGGGAACTGTCACTATTCTGGGATTAACCGTTGAATAAAATATTGAAATTCGAACATATCTTGTGTTCACCTGTACTACCTGGGATGCTTCACTTTCTTTTAATTTAATAATATAGCAAGTCATAATCCAGTTAAGGCAAAGCCAATGCAAACATTGCAAATGTAGAGGAGAATAATAGTTTATTTTTTTCCTCATCTGTGTGATTTCTCTATACAAACTACCAAGTACAAGGATATCGTTTATAACAATGATTGACAGGTTCCAACACAGTTCCATCATATATCCATATATTTAACATATGTTTGTGACATGTGTAAAATTAAATTAAATGTAGGCTGATGGCTTTATTTAAGACAATCTCATGGAGCACTGAGAAATCCAATGTCTGATTGCAGGTATACTGTTCTCTGTGTAAGTCCTCAAAAATAAAGTAGTCACTTAATCTAGCAAAAGTTCTGTAGTTATATCCACACTTTAGAGTTGCAACTGAGGAGCTCATGCGGCACACGTCTTGCTCACTTGGAAGCCAGGCCTCGTCCCCTTCTGTGATAACTTTTATTACTGCATTAGGATGAAACTTTATTAGAAAGTAGCAATACAATAGATGTAATTCAGTCTCCCTGATATAACCACATGTACTTTTTTTAGGGAGCTGTTACTGTCCTTGGTAGGGTAGGTAGTGTGTCAGTTACACTCCACCTAAACTAAATTTGAGCAGGGAGTGTAGTGCAAACTGAAGGAATATGTTTGCTATAAGCTCAGGTTCCATTTTGTTTTTATCATCCATTTTAGTTTAAATATAAGATATCTAACAATGTATCATGCTTGTTTCTATATGTATCCATGCACTTCTTGTTATTAAGTTTCGTTACTGTTGCTAAACTTCTGTTTCCTGTATACCACCTGATTATTTGTAAACTACATATATGTCTTTAGATTTAAGTTGAGAAATTAGCCACAACTGTGTTAAAACATATGCTGTTTATTACCATATATGGAAAGTCCTATGAGCCACAATTGTGTTACTTTCTCCTATATAAGCTGCCGTGAAATAAAGATTGTTAGATCATTCTGAGAAACTATACTTGCGTGCATGTCTAAGTTTCTTCAAGGTAGTCTCCAGGCCTGAGGTCCGAGGGTCAACTTGTGCAGGTCAGAGGAAGGGCTCATACTCCTAGAAGATCATCAGTTAAACCCATAGGCGTGCGCAGCCTATTGCATTAGAGTGTGCACACTAAAGCACAAACACACGCCGCATGTATATGTATATATATATATATATATATATATATATATATACTGCTGTGTGTGTGTGCTGTTAGTGTGCTGTGTGAGGGTGGCGTGAGGGTGCTGTGTGTGTGTGAGTGAGGGTGCTGTTAGTGTGATGTGTGTGTAAGGGTGCTGGTAGTGTGCTATGTGGGTGAGGGTGTTTGTGTGTTTGTGAGGGTGCTGTTAGTGTGCTGTGTGTGAGAGTGTTCGTAGTGTGCTGTGTGTGAGGGTGTGTGTGTGTGTTTGTTAGGGTCCTGTTAGTGTGCTGTGTGAGGGTGCTGTGTGTGTGAGGGTGCTGTTTGTGTGATGTGTGTGTGATGGTGCTGTTTGTGTGCTGTGTGTGGGTGTCGTGTATTTGTGAGGGTGCTGTTTGTGTGTGTGTTTGTGAGGGTGATGTTAGTGTGCTGTGTGTGAGGGTGTTGTGTGTTTGTAAGGGTGCTGTGTATGTTTGTGAGGGTGTGGTTAGTGTACTGTGTGTGTGAGGGTGCTGTGTGTGTGAGGGTGCTGTGTGTGGGTGCTGTGTGTGTGAGGGTGCTGTTTGTGTGTTGTGTGTGTGAGGGTGTGGTGTGTGTGTGCTGTTTGTGTGAGGGTGCTGTATGTGTGTAGGTGCTGTGTGTGTGTGTAGGTGCTGTATGTGTGTGTGTGCTGTATGTTTGGAGGGATTGTGGAGGTGGGGGCAGATTAGTAAATATCCCCCTCCCTTCTTACCTTATGTAGGGAGGGGGAATCCTTGCTGCCATGTGCCATCCCTGGTGGTCCAGTGGAGAGTGAACTCTAGCCTGCGGGGCTAGAGTTCACTCTCGCGAGATCTGAGCGTTGCTTCAGATCTCGCGAGAGGAACCTGGCGGAGCTGCTGTCTAGAGCTCCCCGGGTCCTCTCCTGCCTCCCCCCATGATGCTGTGGGCCGGTGAGGTAGATATTTGATCTCCCCGCCGGCCCATGGAGGCTTAGAGCAGAGCCGGCACTCAGATAGCACCGGCAGGGTACAAGTCCTGGGGAATAAAGTGTGGGAACTCTCCCAAGATTCCCACCCCCCAAAAAAAAAAAATATATACTCGTGTATATATATATATATATATATGTACGCATGCACACAAAAAATGACACACACATACATTCACAGACACACACACATACACTGACACACACACTTACAGACACTCACATACACACTTACAGACACACACACATACATTCACACACACATACACTGACACACATACACACTAACACACATACTCAGACACTAACACACATACTATGACAATATGACGTCATATTCCGGCTCCCGGCATCAGCAAACGGCACACGGCGAGAGTGAGCAGAGACAGGCAGGCGGGGGTCCATCACCTCTTGGCCCACCCAGGCACACCCAGCACACCCCGTGCGCACGCCTATGGTTAAATCCTAACACAAACCTTCCTTAATCAAGGTTTTTTCTTCCCTTTCTTCTGCTAATAGTTTGATGTTAATACACTTCTGAAACCTCCACTTATTAGGGGCATAAGTATTCCCTTACATAATACAGGGGATGTATCAACTATTTGTATAACAGATTTGAGGCCACTTGTTGCAACTGCCTATGTATAAAACACTTGGGAGATATTAGAACAGGAGTTTAGATGCTATCAGCCCTGTAACGGACCGTTTTGCACAAAAGGGGAAAAAAACGCTTAGACGATAATCCCCTTTTCAGAGACAGGCACAGCTACTGTAGAATCACCAAAACTCACGAATTGAATACAAGTGAATGCACCAAACACCCGAACTGCATACAAGGGAATGCTCCAAACACCCGAACTGCATACAAGGGAATGCTCCAAACACTCAAACTGCATACAAGGGAATGCTCCAAACACTCGAACTGCATACAAGGGAATGCTCCAAACACCCGAACTGCATACAAGGGAATGCTCCAAACACTCGAACTGGAACCAGTGATGTATCCTGGTTTTGTGCTGCCCTAAGCAGGACAAAACTCAGGCGCCCTCCTCCCCCCGCGCCACCCCCACCCAACCCTTCCCCCCGCCCCACCTTCTAAATACACATCCACACACAGTCAGACACACACACACACAGTCAGACAAATACACAGATACAAACACAGTCAGACAGAAACACACACACAGTCAGTCAGACACAAACACACACACACAGTCAGACACAAACACACACACAGTCAGACACACACACACACAGTCAGACACACATACACACACAGTCAGACACACAGTCAGACACAAACACACACACACACACATACACAGTCAGACACACGCACACACACTCACAAACACACAAACACACACGGTCAGACACACACACAGTCAGACACAAACACACACAGACATTAAACACAGCCACAGCTGCACAGTCAGACACAAACACAGTCAGACACACGCACAGTCAGACACACGCACAGTCAGACACACGCACAGTCAGACACAAGCACAGTCAGACACAAACACACACACATACACAGTCAGACACACGCACACACTCACAAAACACACAAACAGACACAAACACACACAGTCAGACACAAACACACACAGTCAGACACAAACACACACAAACACACAGACAAACACACACACACACAGTCAGACACAAACACACACACAGAGTCAGGCACAAACACACACACAGAGTCAGACACACACACACACACACAGTCAGACACACACACATTAACTTTTTTTTTTATTTAAATCCCCCCCCAACCTCCTTACCTTTGGGAGTGCTGGGGGCCTCTTTCCCCAGGTCCAGTGGTTGATATGGGATGTTTATGAGCTTCCTGAGCTGACTGCTCAGCTCGCCGGGCGCTGGGCGAGGGAGCCGGAGCAGTCAGCTCAGGGAAGAGCCCCGCTGCCGCCTCGCCTGCCAGCGCCAGCTCGCCTGATAAATAGTTAGTCGCGAAGGCTAACTAGGCATTTGCCCCAGCATTTGGGCGCGTCACTTCCCTGAAACAAGGCAAATGGCCTTAATTTGCCTCAAGCGCTGGTCACCTCCCTGACTGGAACCTCACGAATAGCTGCTAGCAGACGAACAGGAAAAGCACCCAAGCGGCTTACACTCCTGGCAATCAGTCTCTATCAGCATACAGTAAATCCCCCCAAAGACGAGACAGAGCTCCGTGTTGAGGGTCAAGCAGTGGTCTGTTTAATGAGGGCTACCTGCCCAGTATTTATGCAGGTCTCCCACCTGGTGGACACTCCCCTAGGGGACCAGATGGAAGACTGTAACAAAAGACAGACATGTACCAATTACAGACATACAGAAGTAAAACATCCCCACAATGCATCCTGGC